CACCCCCACCCTCTGCCCCATACACCCATTCCCTGCCCCACACAACCCACCCCTTGCCCCACATGCCCACTCCCCACCCCACACACCCACTCCCTGCCCCACACGCCCACCCCCTGCCCAGCACACTGAGGGGCTGGGGTCTGGGGATAGCAGGTCAGGAGTGAGGGGCACTGGGTCGGGCCCGGCCCTCGATGTTTCCAAATGGGTCCTGGAAAAAGGTTGAGGACCACTGCTGCAGGGGGTGCATGGCCTGCGTGCTGGGGGAAAAGCCTGCTATGGGGACGGCTTCAGAGGCAAGCATTGCCTGCTATGGGGAGAGTCTCGGGGAGGCTGCTACAGGAAAAGTCACGCTGCCCTTTTGTTGCAGGGGGGATGTGTGGGGAGGCGCTGCCTGCCTGCTCCGGGTCCTTTTGAAAGACTGGGGCAGAGGGTCTGTAGGCCTCTCTTCTGGCCCCAGACGCCCGGGACACATCACAGTCAGGGCAGACTGTGCTCAGGAGCTGGCACAGGCAATGTGGACTTGATGCAATAAGATGTGACCCAGTTCTGGCCACCCCAGGCTGCTGGGGCCCCGCTGCCTCTGCCTGCCCCTGACCAGGCACCTCGCTCTTCCTGCACCGACAGAGAGGGACGGATGGATGGGGAGCAGTGTCCATTTGAACCCTTCACGTGAGAACTGAGCGGGGGGAGTGGGCACCTTCTTCAGGGGGCAGGTGCTGGCTGAGGCAGCCTTTGGGACCTCCCAGACTTACCTGTCTGTGGGGGTCACAGCAGGAGGGAATCGCTGCCCTGTGGGTCTTGCCCTGGCCACATCTCCATCACTCCCCAGTCTGCCTTCTGCAGCCTGGGGTCTTCCATGATGAGGGCAGTGCAAACCCAAGCCCATAATACTGCCCCGGAATACCACTAAATGCCATTCAAACATTGGGTTTTATTAAAAAAAAAAATAGGGATCTCATTGTGCTTTATCTGCAAATTGCTGAAGTAAAAGCACTGCCTATTTCCAAGCCTAAGTGGCTTGGCATAAATATATTCTCTTTCATTCTGGTGAGGTTGTTAGCACATTCCCATGTGCACGCCTGCTATCTGGATGCAAAATCTCTCCTTTATATTTTGTATGGGCTGTATCACCTATGCATGAGTTTCCTTTAAATCCTTCCCGAAAAAATCCTGCCTGCAATAAAACTGGGGAGGCTGCTACTGGTGAGACCACTGCCTGTCATGCTGATCAATATTGCCTCATTGTTTCCTTGCCCTCTGTATCCCTCTCCTGTCTAACACTGGGAATACAAGTTCTTTGGGGAAGGGAGTACTTTTTTGGTCTGTGTTTGTACAGCCTCTGGCACAAGGAGGGGTCCCTGATCCATACATGTCACTAGTAGGTGCTATGCTAAATACAAATAATAATAAAAAACAGGATTCATCATTCACATCATCAAAGACACTAGGTAAAAGTGAGACCCCTTTTCCATTTGAATACCCCTTTTTATTTTCCCCAGCGAATTGACTGATCATCTGTCTGAGCAGCAAACCTTCATTAGTTGCTCCCGTGGCACCCATCTGTTCTACCTGTAGATGACAGGGGGGAGTGAGGAGGGAAATGAAGATTTTATCAGGATACACCTGCACCTACCCATGCAAAAGATAGAGAATATTGTAAAATTAATGGAGCCTCTTCATAATTCATAGCTTGTTTGTGAAAAAAATATCATAATGGCTTGGTGTGATATGTCAAGCATCTATAATTCATGGGTCTGAGATCACACAACTGCCATACATCGGGAGCCTCACTCCACAGAGTGAGGTGTTTGTAATTAATCTGCAAAAAGAGAAACAAAGGCAATAAACCTGAAGGGACAATAAATAAGGGCCAGATCCAGCCACCCTTACTTACATTGAGCAATAATTAACAAGCGGCCCGTTACCAGTCCTCCTGGGTGCCATAGGTACGTAAGCAAGGAATAAGGTAGTGTGACACTGCAGGGAGAGGAACATCTCTGCTTCCGCTCCAGAAGCAAAGGCCTCCCCTGCCTTTGGAGGTAAAGGAAAATCTCCCTCAGTTGCTGGCAGCATGGTACTTTTTAGACTTTAAGCTCTTTTGGGTAAAAGCAATATCTTCCTGTATGTTCGGTAAGCAGCTGGTTACAGGGGCTATTGCACTATACATGCATATCTCTGGGCGCTTCTACACATTCATTAATGTGCTATAGTTACAGCACATTAAGTTAATACTTGGTTAACCAAGTACTAAATCAATGCACAGTATCTTGCATTGCTGTGCAGTAGCACTGCTGCATGGGTTTTTAGTGATACTTATGGCGCAGTAGCCTAATACTAATGCGCAGTAGCGTATTAGCACGGTTTTTGCCCGGTGCACCACTATGCAGTGTTATTAGGCTACTGCACAGTTAGCGTCTCATGTAGACGTACCCTATGAGTAGTTTTTGTTCTCCTTAACACAGGGCAAATGGTATATGTATACGGTAGCTAGGTGACCATGCAGCGCCTGTGACACTTCATCCAAGAGAAGCCTAGAGGTTAGCAAGAGGATGTTAGTCTGGGAGAAGCTTAGCCCGTAGTACGGAGGAAGGGAGCGCTGTCGAAACACTCGAGTGATTTGGACAGGATGGAGTCTGTCACAATGTGTTGCGGGGGAGAAGGAGAGGAGGAGCTGACTGTGCCTTCCTGCTTTGACCAACTTGGAGACTCTGGTTCGGGAAAGTCTGATTAGCTCAAAGCACGTCATTGAGTTCAGTAGGACTTTGGCACATGCTTAAGTGCTGTGCTGAATAAGGAAGTATTCCTGAATCAGAGCCTGAGACAGGGCTCGAACAATTTGTACTAGTAAGCAAGCGACATAATGAGCAGAAACAGAATGAACTGAAGCCCCTTCCTAATTGGAAACAGTGAGCTGGTGTTCTCCCCGTCACCACTGTCTGCTTTCATCCTTGTGAAGCTAAACTCGGGAACTGTGATGTGCAGCTCGAAAACTTCCTGCTGTTTCTCACAATAGCCAGACCCTCTATGTAGGTTTTCAAGCAATGCAGCAAGCTCCAGCATGACTGCAGGGCCAATAAACAGGAAGAAACAGATGATTTGATTTCTTCTAGAGTATATGTTATGGGAAAAAGGACAAGAAAGCCCTGGAGACTAGATAAGACAGGGACCTAACCAAAAATGTGGCGCCAGATATGCTGGACATGCCTATATGTCACAGTTAAATCATTTTAATCTAATATACTTACTTCACAAGGGGCATTGCAATGAAGCAGGAGCGATTCCAATAGACTGCTCTGATTGGGCTCTTCCAGAACGGCCTGCAGCCAGCAGCATTCATCGCTCTGTTTACTCAGTTTTAGTCCCTGCAAAAAAGGAATTAATTTTTGTTTGTTTGTCTCTTTGGCTGGTCTCATTCCTTGGATGCAGCTCTTCCCTGCAATGTGCCCTTAATTTGTGTTGCATGGATCCATTTTGGATTTTTCTTTTAACTCAGGGCATCCAACTGGTGGCCTACACCCTGCGAGGGGTTAACATGTGACCCCTGGGCTCCCACCCAGCCACTACTGCCCCTGTGTCTCCAACTGTAGTAGCAGCTGGGGTCCTGAGGCTCAATCCACCTCCCCTGACTTCTGCTGCTTGACCCAGGCCCAGGGGCCGGGGTGTAGGGGGCAGCGTGACAGCCTGAAGTGCTGGGGGAGCCAACAGCCCAGAGCACCCACATGGCCAGGTGCCACAGAGGAGCCTTCAGGGAGCTGTAGGTAAAGTACCGTGCCATGCACATGCTGCAACAAGGTAGGGGAGCATCTGCCCACCTGTGCACTTGGTGCAATGGGGTGAGGGAGCACCTGCCTTCTCCTGCAGTGCAGCGGGGTGGAGGAATACCCCCCTTGTGCATGGTGCAACAGGGTAGGGGAGCACCCGTTCATTGCCCCCACCAGGTCAGCCCCTTTGGTGTGCAGCCATTGCTGGTGCAGCCCACTGGGCATGTGGTCCTTGGCCTCTTAGAAGTTGGGCAGCTCCATTTTAAGTGATCAACGCCTTATCAACCTAGGGAAGAAAAAGGGTCTGGTAGTAAGGTTAGCAAATCTGGAGTTAGGAGACATTGGAGCACCTGGTCTCTTTGTTAACCTCTGTACAAATTAGGTGTAAGGCCTGTTACCGTTCCCACGTGGACAGCTGTGAGTAAGAACCTGAGGACCGAAGAACAGTGGGTGGGACTCATGTTTTGGGTTCGATTCTACCATTTGCTGCCTTGGTTAATGCACTTATGGTAGGACATTTTCAGTGGTGGCCACATTTTCAAAGACGGTAAACAACTGTTGCTCTGCTGAGCAACTTGAGCTGTATGTGCATGCTCTGCACCTTACAAAAACTGGGACAAGCAATCCACACTTATGCAACCTAAATAAAAAAGCTGATATTTAAGGTGCCAAGCGTTTGCAGCTTCTACTGAAGCCAATTTAGCCTTAACTTTCCTGTGACCCAGTTTTCTCTGTGCCCAGCGGGTAGGACAGTACTTCAGAGGGGTGTTGTGAGGCTAAATTCATCATAGTTTGTAGAGCTCCAAGGAAGGAAGGTGCCAGAGAAGTGCAGGCTATTATTAATCTAGAACGCTTCCGTGGCAGAACAGGGCAGAAAAATTGTCCATCTGCTCTGGTAACGTGTCTAGCAGAAGACAGGCCACTTAATACACAGGAAAGTCTAAAATGCCATTATGCATTTGAAGTGTTTTATGCAATGTCATCCTGATCAGGAACTCTCATACAAGGCCCTGTTATAAAACTATGGATGAGCAGACAGACAGATAGATGAGTAGTAATGGAAATAATTATCATTTAATTAAATCAACAGCCTAAAAAATACATTGCAAATGAAGCCTGAATTAGATTTACCACTAACAACATCACATGCAACTGTCACAAACTGCTGGATTAAATTATGGGAATTTGAGGGGTCGGGGATAGGCCAGACCTCTGTGGGTAGGCTACAAAATACTTTGCACAGGAGAATCCTATCTTTTCACTGATTAATTACAAAATACTGTACAAGAGCCAGGTACCACCTGCTCCAACCCAGATGCACTGACCATTAACACTGAAAACTTAAGCTTGACCCACAGCAGCAACCCAGCCCAACCCTGCATAATCTGCTAAATTTTCAGGGATATTCTCAAGCCCAGGGGTGCGCAAAATATGGCTCATGGGCTGAAACTGGCCCGCCAGGCGATTTCATTCAATCCACAGGTGCCCACCAATTAACTGTACTCCACCTAGCCTGCATGCTTTGCTCCCACCCTCATGTGCGGGAGTGCCCTGACCCCAGCCCTAGCCCCAGCCCCAGCCAGCACGCACAACTTCTGCGTGCAGCCATTGCTGCCACTGTTGCAGCCACTGAAGGACCTGCTTGACTTCCCCATCCTCCAGTGGCTCCTTCGCGTGTCCCTGCTGGAGCACTGGAAAAAATAGCAATGCACGGAGTGTGGGGCTGGGGCTGGTGGGAGTGTGGAGCTCATGCACAGTGGGGCAGTGGGACTGCCAAGCTTGGGTGGGACAGGGTGTGGGTGTGTGGGGACCC